GCACTATCTTTTCGCAGCCTCCGCTCATTTCATTCAAACGCGACAAAAACTTAGGCAATTTTTTGGTCAGAAGTTCTTTTCAGACTAATGAGCAACCAGGCACTTTTAAATGCGCTCGTGCACGATGCAAAACGTGTCCTTTCATTCACAACACTGATAAAATATCGGGACCTAAACGATCCATTAAGATCACCGATCACTTCACGTGCACCTCCGCTAATGTAATCTATTGCATAACTTGCACTTATTGCAAAAAGATATACATCGGCGAAACAGGCAGAAGACTAGGTGACCGATTCCGAGAACACCTTCGAGACGTGGAAAGGAATGACAAGGACACATCGAAACCAGTCGCTAGACATTTTAATTTACCTAATCATTCTAAGCAACATATGGCAATCTGCGGTCTTTCCTTGCACTTAGGTGGCACGGAAAGCCGTAAAAATCTTGAACAAAAGCTCATCTTTCAAACCGGCAGTCTAAATCCCACAGGGATCAATGAACGCTTTTCATTCCACTAATTTATTCATGTTTTTCTCGTTGCCATGCACCCACCAATAACGTAGCTCCATTTTCTGCCTTTAAAAGCACACACAACCCACAATTCCTCTATTCGCTCCGACGAAGGGCTAACGCTCGAAACGTCAGCTTTTGTAATCATTACGGTGACCAATTTACCATTTCAACTTTGTTGATATATCCAAATCATTCATTATAAACACGTTAGGCACAAACTAATTTTTGAATATTTTATCTTTTAACGTTACCTTGAACCATAAGTTTCTTTCCCGATGGATTTGTTTCTCAGCAGTAACTCATGGAGATCTTTGTAAACACACCCAACAACCACTGACCCTAAAAAAAAAAATTAGCCTGTGTAAAAATGTCCTATGTATAACCCCATACCATGAGATCAGTCCAGCTTTACACGTATTCCAAATCCGCCACGAGCCAGACGCAAGTGATTTGCACATTTTTCGAGTTTTCCTCCAACGTCTCAACTAGGTCATTAAACTCGAACTTTCTGTGGGTTTAACACTGCAATTAACGATGGCTTTTGACTTATCTGGACGTTAGTATTTTCTTAGCTATGTCATCATTTTCAGTTAAATTTTGCTTGTTGATTAACCGTGAAAGAATAGATAATGGAGCAAAATCCAAAACAAGATATTGTATAAGTTAGAGTTAAAAATTTGGTTAGCACAAACCATTCTCAGCAAAGTCTTTTGCAGAAATATTTATACGAGCTTGCCATTCTTCCTCCTTGAGGAAGAAGTCAGTCCCATGGCGATAACCTTTTTGAATGCCCACAACTGTAAGAAGGAAGAAGGAGAAGACTAAATGCTAGATAATGATTGGAATTGTGAGATAACATTACCATATGTGGAAGTTTTATTATTATTATTATCATTATTAACATTTTTTAATATTGTTTTATTTTGTACGTACATAAGCATTACAACATTACAAAAACTTAAACGCGATCCTGATTTATTTGACCCAAATTTAATATACTGTTGTTCTGATATGTTAAGAATATAGAAACAAACAGCACGAACAAAACCAAATAATTAATCGACCACTTTCTTCGATGCGCCTACTTCAACTAACCTTTGAGACGAGTAACAGGCTAACTTACTGTGTTCTTACGGCTTCTATTTGTATGTATTTCTTTTGGCCAGCAGGCAGTAGACAGAGCATTCAATTAATCGATAGGTCAGTTAGTCAGTCACTAGCTAATCAATCATAAAATCTCTGAATATTTCAACTCACCCATGGTTTGACTAGTTATCTTTGCAGATGAATTCGTTCCACTCAGATGGTATTTACCATAATTAAGAGCAAATTCCTCGAAGACGACTGCTACCTCAAAGATGGATTCTATTTTTGTTTCATCCTCTTTATTACTTAGTTGGCCTGCATGGGGTTTCGTGATGTTCAGAAGGTTATCGGTGAAGTGTTGAAATACACGCACAGCCTCCTGTGAAGACGAAAATACTCTTTATGCATGTTACTATGAATTGAAGTACTTGGTAATTCATTTACCTCAACAAAATCAGCTGGAAGTTACAGTTCAAAAAATTCGACGAAGGTAATGATATTGGTAATGAGGACTACTCCCAGTTTGGATTTATAGAGTAACTGTTGGCAAGTAAAGAATGGCTCTCAGTTGAGACTCGCAGTCCCGTTGGCACTCTTTTAAGAAAGAAAAAAGCTTTTTGACAGATCAAGATCGAAATTAATCACCATCATCATTATAGTGAAGTGGAACAGCCGCTCTTCTTTAGAAGACGTATCCCTGTCTACATTCTATTTCAATTTTCATTGACGCGCTTAAACTCCTATGCCTCGGTCCATGTTTAAAAGACCTTTGAAGCTTGCGAGATTGCTGCGTTCAGTTGCAGACGTAACTTTCTTAACTATTGCTTATTTAATATCTAAAAATTATATTAATCATGTGATAGATGAGCAATACGTGCAATCATACCTTCAAAGAATTGTTTCTCTTGATGTCTATTTCAGTGAGTTTAGAAATAGAATCATTTGTCTGTGGTAAAGCAACCACAAGAGTGTTGGCGATTGGCAGAAGCTATGATAATTATAATTACAAAGAGAATGAGGAATTACAATACTTATGTACCCACCAAATTCTTCAGTGCTTCCGATGTCAATGACGGAATATTCCAAGTTGATGTTGGCGGAGATGACGGGGGATGGGGATGGAAATAACGATGCTGCTGCTGGCGATGATAATGTTGATGACAAAGAGACTGGTAATTTTATTGATACTGATTCTAATGATGGGTTAAATTTTAATTCTGCAGTTTCTGATGCTTCTACACCTAATGACCATACTGCTGCTAGCAATAAAGGTGGTGATGATAAAGATACTGATGATTTTGTTGATACTAATTCTGGTGATTGGGCTGATTCTGATGTTGGGGTTGATTCTGATTCTGCCGTTTCTGATGCTTCTACACCTAATGACGATGCTGAAGACGATGGTAATGGTGATGGTAAAAGGAGAGGTAACCGTGACAACGAGGATAATTGCAAAATAACTGAGTGTTGAGGAGAAAGCAAATTATCAAAATGAAATTAAAACCAAAATTGGAAATTTATCGTAAAGCATAAGAGTATGAACCATTAAAGAAATGCATATGAAGAATCGCGAACACTCCAACACAAAAAAGTATTCTCTTTGGAATTCACTTAGTTAATTTTACTCACAACAAGTATAGGAGTTTCCTGTTCGTTGCACTGTTAGAATTTCAGTTGAGGAAACTTTATCTGTTGTAGAAAAGGCAGGTGTGATGATATGTGAGATGTATAGATCTGAAGTGCTGCAGAAGCCATTTAGACATTTAGTGCAACTGCAATGTTTATCTACGTCACAGTGGGTATGAAAGACTCCCTTCGTGAAAGGCAATGAGTCGTAACTGGGCATAAGACTTCCACAGCATCCACCACTCCCAGAACATGTGATCTCACCCTGAGGATTGTTAGGCCAGCTTCTTACCATGTGGCATGTGGAACTGTCGCACGTTTGTGTACAATCGATAGCGTTACAATGCATGCTGCACACTTGTACTCCATTGCCGCAATGCTGTTTTTTGCACTTTCCCCCGCTGCATTTAAGTTTACATGTTTTAGCTTCTCAAGTTTGTTCACAATCCCCTTCTTTGCACTCCAGACCCATTTCACATATTTCTACTTCATCAGAGCATTCCTGTTTTCTGCACTTCCCCCCAATGCAGTTCAGTTTACATGTTTTAGCATGGCAAGTTTGTTCACAGTCCCCTTCGCTACATTGCAGATCCATTGCACATAATTCTCCTTCATCATGACACTCTTGTAATCTACACTTTCCCCCACTGCAAGTCAGATTGCATTTTTCAGCATCGCAAGTTTGTTCACAATCCCCTTCTTTGCAATCTAGACCCATTTCATATATTTTTACTTCCTCAGAGCATTCCTGTTTTATGCACTTCCCCCCAATGCAGTTCAGTTAACATGTTTTAGCATCGCAAGTTTGTTCACAGTCCCCTTCGCTACATTGCAGATCCATTGCACATAATTCTCCTTCATCATGACACTCTTGTAATTTACGCTTTCCCCCACTGCAAGTCAGATTGCATTTTTCAGCATCGCAGGTTTGTTCACAATCTCCTTCTTTGCAATCTAGACCCATTTCACATATTTTTACTTCCTCAGAGCATTCCTGTTTCTTGCACTTTCCTCCACTGCAGTTCAGTTTACATGTTTTAGCATTGCAAGTTTGTTCACAGTCCCCTTCGCTACATTCCAGATCCATTGCACATAATTCTCCTTCATCATGACACTCTTGTAATTTACACTTTCCCCCACTGCAAGTCAGACTGCAGTTTTCAGCACCACAGGTTT